GATTTGGATAAAACGAAGGTTTGTGCGAAGTTTGTTCCACACACATTAAGAAGCGATCAAAAATCAGCGAGAATCAATTATTCCAGAAACATCGTTGCAGCCGCAGAAAATAATCCAAACTTCCTAAAATCAATTGTTACGGGTGATGAAACATGGTGCTTTCAATATGATCCAGAAACTAAGCGTCAAAGTGCGGAATGGAAGTCAAAAAATTCACCACAAGCAAAAAAAGTACGAAAAGTTCCATCAAAAATCAAGACAATGCTTTGATAGCAAAGGTATTATCCACAAAGAGTTTGTTCCAACTGGCCAAACAATTACTGGTGCATATTATCTCGAAGTTTTAAAGCGATTGATGGGCAGAATTCATCGTATTCGCCCCGAATATCGTGATACAAAAAATTGGTCTTTGTTGCATGATAATGCATCGAGTCACATTTCATTGATTGCCCGTCAATGTTTGGCTCGAAATCGTGTCTCTGTGTTAAACCATCCACTGTATTCACCTGATTTGGCCCTCTGCGACTTCTCATTATTCCCAAAATTGAAATTGAAATTGAAAGGACAAAATTTGATGACATTCCGACCATCCAATCAGCTTCTACACAGGCACTAGAGGCAATTCCGCAAACTGAGCTAGAACATGCATTTGAATCACTATTGAATCGCTGTAATAAGTGTATTGAAGCCAGAGGAGAATATTTTGAATAATAAAACCAAAAAATATGCATATTCTTGTTTCAATTATGATTTTCAGGCCCTGTCCGGGAACATATTTGTCGCACTGTGTACTCATGTTTTGAATGGTAACGGCTTGATATCTATGAACTGTTTGCTTATCAACCCCGAGAAGATATTCAAAGTAATGATCATTCCGGAATAGAAGTAATGAATACATATACTTATAATATTAATATAAATACTTATTTCTTTTAATGTAAACCAAAAATTATTTTCAATTGTACACAGCCATTAAATGTTTACAAATTAAGTAATTAAAAAGAGGGCTATGAGCCTAGTTATTTTAACTAAACCAGAGAGAGGAGGGGAGGGAGAGAGAGAGGGGGGAGAGGGAGAGAGAAGAGAGAGAGAGAGAGAGAGAGAGAAAGAGAGAAATAATACAGGGTGGGCCATCTATTGGTACGTTTTTGAATTTCGTCGTATGGCAACACCGAACGAGCTACAGACCCGAAATTTTGACA